TTAGCATGAATTTGAGGTGGGGCACAAATATTCAGTCCATAACAGCACTGAAGCCCAAGACTGAATTTGTTGTTTTCATAGGCTAGTTGTTTACATTTGTATTTTATACAGAGTGCTTTCCCTAGAACTGTTATAGTTTTAATAGGAAAGCTATGGTTTAGCCTGGTCAAATCTTCTACCCACTGAATATTTTAAGAGGATCTGGATTCAAGGAATTGCTGGAGAGGAAATCCTTAAATTACTATTATTATTCTTGATGCAAGATTTACTATTGTTCTACCCTATGAAATGGGCTTGCTTCTCTCTGGCAGTAGGGAAGCCATTTTTCTTCTTAGCCAGAAAAAATGTCAGGTATATGCTACATGATTATCAAATGATTTGTTTCACTACTGTAATGCAGCTTTAAGTTAACCTTGAAGTCCTGAGCTTGTCTATTAAAACAGCCACGTCATTAAAGTACTCTCTCAGTGTGAAAAAACTCAATAGACTGTTACATTTATTTTCTTAGTATTGTTGCTTTTATCATTACTGGACCTATGGAGGCTAAAAATGTATGGCTTTTTATATTTGCCTGTATAAAAATGTAGTTTCTTTTATTGTGGCTTTTGTGTTAAAATTTGTCATAACATTATTTTCCTCTTACTTAAAAAAAAACAAAAACAAAAAAAACTGAAAGGGAATATAAAATGTATTAAATTAAGCCAGTAAATGAAAATGAATTTGGTTTGTATTGGAAGACAGATATTTTATAGATGTCTTCTCTGTTTCTGGTAAATCTTAACAGTTAATGTTTCTGGTAAATCTTGAGATCTCCCCAAGCAGAAGTGGACATTCTGCTAATGAAAGAACACTAGACGCCCAAGACTTGTGAACAGAAAGGGAGGCAGAGAAGGGATGTTCTATTGAAGCTATTTTTAGAATTGTGTTGGTGGCTTAGATATTAATGTTTGGTTATAATATTGAAAATTTCAAGGGCATGGATATCTGATCTCTATCTTTATCTTTTTTTTTAATAATTATCTCTCTTATATCTTACCTACCTCCCTCTTCCCTCCCCCTACCCCCCAATTTTAAAATTAAGGAACTGGCTAGCAAACTCATGAGAAGGTATATATGAAAATATCTAGCACTTTGCCTAATAATTACTAAAAATATTCACATTTTAAGCATTAATTTCAGTTTGATTTGAGAGTAGAACAATTATTAAGTTTGAATGTTTTTTTTAAAAACAGAACCATCTCCTTGTTGGTAAATGCAAATATTTAAACTGAAAGGAAAATCATAATAGAGAATGAAAAGTTAAAAACCAGTGCGAATAGATGTTCTATTAAAACATTTACACCATTGAATTAAAATTCAGACTTCTTTTAAAAAGTTTCTATGTTTGCTTGCATGTTTTTTCTTTTCTTTCTAATTGAAGAGAAAACATAGCACTAAAAACCAAACCCATATCGTATTATTTCTCACCTACCTACTTTGGTGGGCAGTCATCTTCAGAGCTATTTAAGAGTCAAAGTGGAAGTGGCAGGGATGACTTTGCAATTTGAAGGTAAAAGAGCATTGGGTAGGTTAGGTCAAACTATCGATACTCTAACCAACCATTAGAAGATATTGTTAAGGACAAAATTGCTCCTAGATACAGCAACTGAGGACTCAACTCATTATGCTAAGCAGCTGCTAGAATCAGTTTGCCTAGATAATATTTTAACAATAAAGTCTGAAAATTATGCAGATCACAACAATAAATTTCTTTTTAAAAATTAAATTTATTTGGGTGACATCTATAATAATAAGAGCATAATATTAGACTGGACATCCTTCCGGAGAAAGCCCGGGCTGTGAGGGAAGCCAGTGCCGGTAGCCAGGGGGAGGAAGGCCTACTCTTGCACGATTTTCGTGCATTGGGCCTTTAGTTGGTTAATAGGATCATATAGGTTTCATGTGTGGATTTCTATCTTACAAAATCTATATATTGCACTGTACCACCCAAATCCATCATGGTGGTCCCATATATTAGGTCCTCTGTCACCATACATTAGGTCGTCTTCACTTCCTTCCCTTTCCCTCTGGCAACCACTACACTGCTGTTTATATCCACAAGTTTCAGTTTTGTTTCATCCCAAATATGAGTGAAATCATATTGTTCTTAGCTTTTTCTGCCTGACTCATTTCACTTGGCATAATATTCCACATTGTCTCAAATGACAGTATTTCATCTTTTCTTATGTCTAAGTAGTATTCCATTGTGTTTATGTACCACATCTTCTTTATCCAGTCCTCTATTGAAAGACATCTTGGTTGTCTCCATGTTTTGGCCACCATGAATAATGCTGCAATGAACATAGAATAGGAGGGCATATATCTTTGTGATTACATGTTTTTGGATTTTTTGGGTATACTGTATACCCAGGAGAGGGATTGCTGGAGGTATATGGTAGCTCTGTTCTTAATTTTTTGAGGAATTAACTCAAAATAGATCAAAGGCCTAAATATAAGATATGAAACAATAAGTTAGAAGGAAGAAAGCATCAGAACTAAACTTATGGGCCTTGACATAGAGAACATCTTATGGACTTGATTCCAAAGGCAAGGGAAATAAAGGCAAAAATAAATGGATAAATTTCTTATAGCCTTCTCCTTTCCCCTTCCCACTCTTTCACCCCCTGGGCAACAGGGGTTCGGGGTGGGGAACAGGACTCACGAAACAAAACTCACTCAGTTTTACATGCCAGATTCTGTGGGTTTCTTTGTATTTCCATAGCATCTTAGGAAAAGTGGTATGGGAGTTCTTAGCCAAACTAACATATGAATTGTAAGTTTGCTTGTCTGCCATCTCTTAAACTCAGTGAAGAGAGAAGAATATCTTACTGGGTTCCCTCCTCCTGTACCTAGAGGGCAGAGTATGAGTTAGACCTGGGTCACTTCTACTTATTTTGTGTGCAGTATTAAGTATCCTAACAGAGTGAATGAGTATGCGATATTCTTCCATTTATTTCTTTATCTAAAAAGTGCCACCCATCTCTTTTCCCCAAACAAAACAAAACAAAACAAAACAAAAGTTTTATCCCTTCCAAATGATAAACTTGAAGGTTCACTTATCCTTCATATTTTAATTTCTCTGAAGCTTTTCCCTAACCTCTTTTCTGAAGCTTTTCCCTAACCTCTTTTCCCTTCTTATTGGGACAGAGTGTAACACTTCCTTCTCAGTTTTCATTGTACTTTTTTTCAGTTTCTCAATTGTAGCTATCCTATTAATAAAAGCCTATGTGGTCATCATGCCATAATGCGGTGACACCCTCATGGAGCAGCAAGCTCACCAGGAGGCTGCGGGGGCTTGACACTGCAAGTGTGGTGCGGAGGCGGGGCCCATGGCTCCAGCCTACCTCTTTGGGGCAGTCCATCCAGGAGCCTCAGATGGGTGGGCCGGGCCTACCTCTTTGGGGCAGTCCATCCAGGAGCCCCAGATGGATGGGCAGGGCCTACCTCTTTGGGGCAATCCATTCAGGAGCCCCAGATGGGTGGGCAGAGCCTACCTCTTTGGGCGATGGATAGATTGCAGGGCTCTTGCACTGTGAGAGGGCACAGGCTAGGCTGGGAACCATCCCCAGCCACCCCTCCTCCCCTTCCCCGCCCAAATTTCATGCGCTGGGCCTTTAGTTACATTATATTATGGGTGTTTATGTATATGTCTATCTTTATAAAATTGTGAAGTTTTTTTGTGAATCGGAACTATGTCTTGTTTGGGTTGGTTTTTCTTGGCAGTTGGAATAATTAATACAAAGCATTGATTTAATATTTATAAATAAATGAATCAAAACTTTAATTTCGATGGTAGTTTTTCAGAAGGCAAGCTTGCTGTTTGAGACACAAAATTGAGTAAGACTCTTGCCTTCTGGAAATTCAAAATTTATTCATTGTTCAATCAGTATTTATATGTCCTGTGCAAGGCATTATGCTTAGGTGCTAAGGAGATGGTCACAAAAATTCTTGCATAAAGTAACTAGTGGGGTATTATTTCCTTCGATTAATAGTATTTCATACTATGTATTAGTATTTCCTACGTAATTTTAGGCTGTAATCAACCTGTAAATTCCATAGTAGACAATAGGACATTCAGATTTACTGCCTAATTCTAATCTATGTTGCATGTATATTTATCACATAGTTACACATTGGCAAAGGAGGAGTGATGAAGACCAGAATGATGTAGCACACCTAAATATTTTCCTGATTCCATAAGCCTGGCTTAATAATACTTGAGGCTGGCAGTACTAATTATTCATAAATAATGGTGGTAGATTTATACCTTCAATGCTGATAGTGCTTCTGAGTAGTATTGTCATAAACAAATAAAAACATGACTTATACTTTTTCATATATGACTAATTCATTAACTCTCCTGGTTCTAACACATTTCTAATATTTTACAACTTTAACAGAGAGTTTAATGTTGCCCTGAATTCTCCAGTTTCTGAATTCTATTTCTTAGCCCTAAATGAAAGCATAATTAATTTGAAGGAATTTTGACATAGCGACAAAAGTTCTATAGATTTCATTATCTTCTGAATTTGGACTTAAACCTTATTTCCATTCTTATATTACATTCATGAATATAAACACTAGCTTCATGTTTCTCTTCTTACAGACCAGCGAGTATACATTTTAGTAACATACTTGGAATTTGATATAACTGATAAATTTGGTTCTTTTGGAGAAAATACATGTGCAGACAGTAACATATGATTTGCAGAAAATTCTTACAGATGCAAAATATTTAGAATTGAAGTTTAAAAACACCTTAGTAGAGAAGGAGTTAACAGGTTAGCGCCCCTTGGTTGTTCTCAGCATGCTCTTTTGCTTTTAGGAGCTGAAAAGATGATAACATTGGGTCTGGGCATGCCTGTGTGGAGGTTATGATACTCCTGGGGTTTTTTGCAGCTGTAAAGCAGGCCAGAACTTGTTCATCTCAGAGTTTCTTGTTTTTCTTTCAACCCTTTCAGTGCCCTGCAGGAGTCATTAAATCAAAACTTCATGCTGATCATCACCCACCGAGAAGTCCAGCGGGAGTATAACCTGAACTTCTCAGGAAGCAGTACCATTCAAGAGGTGAGTTATGTCTCACAGCTAAGGAATAAAGGTAGCTCATTATAACTAATGTTGACCCTGTTAAAGAGGGCTTATCTGTTCTGGTTGGAAACTCGCTTTATGTTTCATTATTGGGTTCTTAAATTTAATTAACTGGAGCATCATGATTACTGTAGACATATTAAGTGATTTGACCTAGAAAGACAGTATTGTAAATGGGAACTCTTGATAATTCTTAAAGTAGTCATCTTAAAACTTTGCTTAAAATATTCATTATTATGTAATATATTTGTAGTTTTATGGTAATTATTCAAAATATTAATTTGGAAATTGTTGTCAGCATGCATTTTTAAACATGCACGTATTGTATTTGACATATATTAATTAAAATGTGTATTCTGTTTCCAAAAAGAATTTGAGGAGGCTTTTTATAAGCGGCTCAATGCCAATGTTGGGCGGCATTTGAGGAATGCTGATGGAAATTTTCAGTCATTTAACTCAGAATATCTGAGAAAAGTCTTATTTATAGTCAGGATTTTTTTTTCCTTCTATGTAGCCAACCAGAGCCACTGTTTCAAAAAAGAACCTCCTCCAAGAAAGAAGAGGTATCTTATTGCCTGTGACCCCACCTACCTAAAAGCCAGTAATTTATTTCCAGGAGGGGAAAGTGTGTAAGGCTATGCCAGGACTTATGTTCAGAAACACTGAAATGATGATTATGTCACATTACCCCTTGTAAGTTGTAAAGACATCAATCATTTTGTCTACTAATGCTTTTACAAAGAGGATTAATCATATATTGAATATAACTAAGGACATTTAGTTTAAAAATAACTCCACTTTAATCAAGAAAAGCAAAGATAATGGATAAATTTTATCCTGTTGATTAATTTTTTTAAATTGAAGACTAATATAATGCATTATGGATAAATATAAACTGCTTTATTTGTTTTTCAGAATGAAACTTTTATTGCTAAAATGTTACCCTTTTTTTCATTTCCAGTTTCTGTAGTTTGAGTGTATTTCTGCTTTTTCCCACAAGAGGGCAGAAAGGACTATTAAACTTATAATCTAAAAATGCCATTTAGTGTTTTCAAATTAGCTTTTCTTATATTAACAAAAAGGAGCATAATGGCCAAATTATTGTTTGATTTATAGATAATTGGCATATTGCAGGGAGGAGACTTAATTTCACCCTTTTAAATTAAACAGGGAGATTTAAAAAGACATAAAATATTCATTAATGTTCGGTGATTATAAAGTAGTGGCATATATTTATTTTGCCTTTATTACTGTTTCGATGGGAAAATACTGCAAATATTTCCGAAATCGAGTTGGCCATACTGACAAGTTGAAATGCTTAAGCAGCATTAATGCAATCTGCTCACACCTGATATCCTATGCAGAATGATTCAAAATGACTACATCAATTATTAAAAGAAATATTTAAAATTCTGTAAATGTACCATTATGCGCCACAGTTGGCTGAAACTGTTCTTCATGGCCTCCTAGTTAGGTTACCAAATACATATTAAGCTTCAAGGACTTGAAAATCGTAAATCTTTTTTCATACCATTTTCTAAATGAAAAATGTCCCAGAAATATTTTTGCAAAGACTGATATTCTTACGTATTTCTTGGCAAGAATTTGGTTTTGTCTATTTCATTTTTCTTTTTCTTCTTTTTTAAAAATTTAAAATAATACTTTGAAATGCTTCTTGCCAAGAAAAAATAAATCCAGTTGTTTCTAATATCAGTGCTTTTCTGTGTGTAAACCAGGTACACATAGGCTCTTTATTCTGTACAATTTAGCAAAAAGACACGGATTATTCATTTTAGGCCTAAGATCACACTCTTTAGGTCTAATCCTAAAACTTCCTCCTTTAACTTTGGAATACCTGGTGAGGTGGAGTTTCAGAAGGACAAGATTCTATTATGGTACAGCCATGCAACCTACAGTAACACCTAAGTTTTGTTTTTGTGTATAATTGGAAGTCAGTTTGCTATAATCTTAAAAAGCTTTTGCAGTGTTATTTTATAAATGCTAGAATTTTTGCTGTTAATGTGGAAGCTTAATGATGTCATATATCCTAAATTGTAAATTAATTTCTATCGCCAGTTTCAGAGATCTCTTTTCAGTGTTTTAAAATAGATCCAAGAGTGAATTCTGATCAATATATGAAGAAAAGTAAGAAATTTAAAAAAATGACACATTTATTTTCTAGTGTTGTAATATAGTATATCCTTGTTATAGGAGAAAATAATATATCATTTTTTGGTTATTTTAATTTTTGAAAACCTTGCATTTTTAAAAGAACGCTTTTGTAATATTTTTCTCTCAAAGGGAAATTTCTATTAAATGAAACCGAGTTGAAAAGGCACTATGATTTCATCTCCTAGTGAAACAAAATACATTTTTAAAAATATTGACTTAGAAAATAGAACTTAAAAGCAGTTAGAAATTCAAATAAACTCTTCAGTGACCGACCATATGTTCATGCAAGTTAATAGTGATAAACTTGAGTTGTACAGTGTTCATTCTGGTCTGTGGACTCTTGCATATCTTATGTCCTTTGGGTGTTCTAGATTTTAATTTAAGCTAGTTAGATATCAATGTGTGTTGGGTTTTTTTGGTTGTTGTTTTTAAAACTCTTTACAAATTCTTCCACTTACAATATCCTCCTACTTGAAGAAAAGGCAGAGATAATATAAAAAGGTCAGAATGGAGAGTTACAAGTAGTTATGAAAATATCCTTTCTCTTTTCCATTATGTGAAATAGTTTGAAAATATCTCATAATAAAATAATAACTTTGTGATAATGTCTTCTTACATTTTTGGTTTCTACATTACTTATTTGTCACACTTTAAAATAGTGAATTTCCTTGAAAATTTAAACATGCTTACTTTATCTTAATGGATATTCTACACAGAAAATTCAGCTTTTTAAACAGTTAATTGTACAGACTCTAGTAATTCTGTATAATACTATTAAAGATCTGTGATTACAAATGCACTTGGGATTGGTTAAATTAAGAAGGGGAGGGGAGTAGATTGATTTGCCTACAGCAAATCCTAAACCCAGGTGTGGAAAAGGATATAAAGTCTCTGAAATCAAGCCAACTTTTCTTGGAAAAGAATTCTTTGTTGTCCATCTTACTACTGCAAAGCTTTTAGTGGGCAGAATAGCCACTTTTTTTTTTGTAGATGTCATACAAATTTAAGAAATACAAACATGACCCAGAATAACAGTGATAAGTATTTTGTGTGTGGAATCATTCTTTCCTGTCTGTTACAGCAAGAAGCACGATGAATAGTTATTAAAATTATTTATATCTTCTTCCAAGTTTCACTTTACCCTAGAATTCCTCTCTGTTTTATTAAAGTTGATTTAGCTCTTAATGGTAATAAAGGAAAAATTGACAAACTATAAAGATATATCTTGCATGGAATAGTAAAACATTTCACTACTATTACTAGCCAACAGTTTGAATTAGTAATAAGAAGATAACTAAGTACATAAATCATACCAGTTCTTAAAAATAATTTTGGCTACCTAATTGTGAAATCATGAAGCTAATTCTGATTTTGCAAATTCAAAACTTGTATTCAGTTTTGTGTCTTTTTTTCTGCTTGCTACTTTTCTCAACTTGCTTTTATAACTTCTTTATTGTTGGAGGTTATTAATAGTAATTAAATATGTAGTTGGTTTTTTTGTTTGTTTGTTGGTTTTTTTTTTTTTTTTTTTACAAATTGTACTAATGGGCAATTTTCTAGTTGTGAGTTGACTATAACTTCTTAAGTAGCATGCCCTTTCTGTAAATGTTTTAGGTTTAGTATTTTTTGTTTGTTTGTTTTCCAGTTTGGGGATAGGGTAGGGGATGCTGGCACAGAACTCAAGACCAGGGTAGCTTAGAATGTGCATATTCAAGAGGCTAAATTAAATTGTGTGCTTATTTAATGAAAAGTTTAAGTAGTTTAATTTTATTGCAAGACAAATTGCATAAATAAGCTCAATTAGAGTGAGCCCATTTTAATTACTATATATCATAGTTTGGTTTTTTAAAACTTGAAATCACAAATGACATTTTAGCAAGAATGAAAGAAATGTAATTTCTTAAGCAACTGAGCAATGAATTACTAAGCCTTTATTCAGCTTTCAGAAAAGGAGATTATGAGTTTCTTTCAAATATGCATGTATATTATTAGTTTCAGGTTACATTTTATAACGGAGATCTGTTGACATTATTCCGTTTCAATTGAACAAATCAGTAATGACCATTTTATAAATTTGAGGTTTTAATAAATTATTCTCTTGGGAAATAACTTTAAGTAATATTTACAATGCAGCCATTTGGAACTGACAAGTCTTTTTCTGCCTCTCAAACTATTTTAGAATAATCTCTATTGGAAATTATTTTTAGCTCCTGTAAGTGTTTCTTCGCCTTCATTTCAAGAAGATAGAAACAATGAATTTTTATTAGGAATTAAGGACAATGTTTAGTCCTTTGTTACTTAAGATATGTGTATTCTGACATCTACTTGGCTGATCACATTTCATAATCTGTGATTTGTGGATTGGTAGTTTTGAAATGCCTGGGTTAGGAGAAATTATGTTCAGTTATCAAAAACTAATAAACATAAGACATTTTTATATGCAAGAAAAGGCAGAGAGTAAATAATTGCACTAGTGACCAATACTGTAATAATCCTGTTTTACAATATGCACTTGACAGGTTGTAATAGTGCTAATTGAAGAGACTAATTCACACTTGCTTCATTCTATTCAAAGGCAAAATCAGCAGCTTGTTTTGCTTTTGACCAGATGGTCCTCATGAACACCTACTGTGCACTTTAAGTGCTTTACTAGAATTACAAAGGCTGGGGGCTGCGTTCGACTCCAAATGATTTGAGAAGAGGGAGAGAGAAGGAGGGGAAAAAAACCTTCTGTGCTCAATGGATTTGGTGCAAGTAAATTAATTCTAGTAGACCCATTACACACTGAGCTCCCTTTTCAAAGCTCT